TCAAGTAATTACACTCTCTTTCCGTTGCTTGTTCTAGTTATCCGTGTTTAAGGTGATTTTAAAAAGGTGTCGATATGCACGTATTTGCAGAATATTTTGTATGTGTGTCTGTAATTACGACAAAGATACCAAGGCTATCTGCCTCTGACCATAGTTTTAAACTACTGACCTAGGGAAGGCAGCCAATCAGCAGCACTCTAATTCCCACCATTCACGGAAAGGGATTTACTGTCACTCTTATAATGCACACACACAGAGCCTAAAATGGTGGTGGAGGGGATTACATTATGGTGGCTCACGGATTTGAACCAGAGCTCTACCACAGGTCAAACTGCGACCACATTTATAGGAAGGAGAGGTGTTTTTTTTCGAGAAATAGGAGCAGCGATCTGAGATGAAACATATATAATTGCAGAGACACTAAAACCAAACGCATTTTTGTGAGAAATCAAATATATTTTCTGCCGGTATGTCATACTGCCATGTTTCTTCTTACAGGGGCATACCTCTCCACTCTAGCCACTGCTATACAGACAAATTTATCTCCAGAAATTTAGATAAAGAACCTGATTAGGTTGATGTTATTCTCAAGTTCGATAAAAATACAAGCTTATTGACTAAGCGAAACCAATTAAAAATTTCAATCATAAAGCACGTGACCATTTTTGTACGACAATTTGAAAACTTGTTATAAAATCTGTAATATATTTCAGAACTATTGTATACAGATTGTGCTCCTATAAAATAGTATTTTACATATTATTAGAAATAACAAAAGTTAATGAAAAAAGTTTTAATGTATTCTGAAAATGTAACTCACTATATTTATAACTTGGGAACATTAAATAATCATAGTTCATATGAATAATTGTAAAAAATTATCCTTTATCGATGGAATTTCTTTAGTAATGTGTAACCATACTAACTAGAATAGACTTAACATTACCGTTAAAAGTATAAAACTGTAGCACCAAATATGTATTATCTTAGAAACCCCATAAAAATAGTTAAAATAAATATAAATATGTGATACTTTTTTCACTTTCTATTATATAAGATTTATCTTGGATTATTCAATCAGAATCTTTTTTTTTTTTTTTGTAGGAGAGAAACCGGTGGATTTTAGAGAGATTGGACCAAGTTATAAAATGCAAGTTTATGGAAATGGAAGTTTGGTTATCCAAGAAACAGAAATCACTGACAGTGGTTACTATATGTGTCAAGCTAATAATGGGATAGACGAAGGTCTAAGTAAAGTCATATTTCTTAAAGTACACGGTAAGTAATTTGTTAAGCCTAAGTAAATCCGTGTTGTTGAAAATACGTGGTAATTGGTTTGCTAGGCCTAACTATAAGTCGTGCTTTTTGAAAACACGATGGATAGTACACGGTGATTAGCTAGGCTTAAGCACGGATGTATTTCTGAATGCACACAGTAATTGTTTTGTTATGTATTGTGCATACCCTTTAACCGAGAATAATATTAAAACAAATATATTTCTGAAAATACTCGCTAATTCTATTGTTTCCAAAAGTAGGGGAGACCAGAGCTAGTTGTTACGATTTTTAGAAAAAGTCCAATATCTAGCGAAATAACCCGAATCATACATTGAAATTGAATGAAAGTGAAAGATAAATATGTACTTTATCAAAATTATGTATTCTGTATTGAACAAAATTGGTAACATAAATGATTTCGTAAATATTTTGAAGTATAGTCAAGTGTAACAATATGCCCCAGATGCGGGGTAAGTTGATATAATAGGTGGGGCATGTTGTTATTGTAACAGGTCAGCGCTCAGGTGAGCTTTATTGTTGGAGTTTCAATTAAAACCAACCTGTACACCAAATTTATTTGTTGGAGGATTTTGTCGTGACGAGTGGAGCCACAAGTCGCTAACTCCCGGAGTTTACAGTTAGACTAAAGAATATGAGTCTCAGACCAGCAATAATATTCAGAGTAATCTTTATTAACTTTTAATAACAGTTTCTTATTATAAAACTCAACATTCAAATCTTTAAACAGTAATAATAAACTTTAATACTTCTTGCAAAGACTGATCAAGAGAGAGAAATACTTACTGGAGAGTTGGAACTTTTGAAGCAGTGGCTATGTAGTTGGATCTCAACTGCATTTTTTCGGCTTGAACTGCCTGGAAACTAGTGGAAGTTTCTTGATGGCTGGAGAGTTCTGATTTTGCAGCTCCTGACATGGGTTTTTAAAGCAAAATTTCTCTGTATCCTGGCGGGCATCTAAATAGGACACAGCATCACCCACAAGTAGTGTGGTGCTCCAATTGGATGCTTCCAGGTACCAAACCAAAGCCCTCAGGTTATTGGTCATGGTTAACTGATGTTAGCCTGTCGCC